GATTATCGAGTCACGACTATTGAAAAATGATGTGATTTTAGCTACAGTCTGAAGGTTTACATGTCATCACTGTAGCACCACGATGCTTCATGTAAACTGGTTTGAGACACATTTCACCTCCATCTAAAAGCGTTTCATCTATGCTGCAGTATCAGTTTACTCCTTAGCCCTCGTACAAATCCATAAACGTGTGCAGACCGTCTTCTAGTTCAACTCTACCGGCTGTATTTGCCACAGTTGTGTGTGCAGAGAGAGAAATGATCAACATTGCAGTGTGAACACTTTCAGTTTCAGCTTCTGGAAGGAAAAAAAAAACAGCTGTTCAGTTCCTCCCAACTCATCCCACTAATGAGGGCAGTCGTGGCTCAGGTGATGGAGCAGGTTGTAGAATATTTGCAAAATTGCCAGTCATGCCCTTGAGAAAGACAATGAACGCTGAGTGGCTCCTGATGGCAGGTCTGTTAGTGTGTACATGGATGAATGAGAAACACTGGAAAGCACTTTTTAGAATCCAGTGAAGTTTAAAAAGCACTGGTGTGCACTCAAGTATGGATGCTTTACCAAATTTATCAAAATATTATCAAAATCACAATACGGTGAAGTTAAATATTCAAACCACAGGAGCGGCCAATGTCCATTTAATGAGTAAATGAAGTACTGTGGTGCTACAGAGGCCTCAGGAGATCAATCATGTTCTCCAGACTTAAGGAAGCGTAAAAAATATTAAATTAAATCAGTTTTATTTATAAAGCACGTTTTAAAAACAACCCCAGTTGACGACCACGTGGTGTCAATCTGGCACCAACAAATAATCTGTGCAAAAGCAAGAGAGGCTAAATAACATCCATTTGTCAAAGAAAGTATAAAATGATAAAACGCTAAATTAAGGACAATCAGGAATCTGTAAAATCAAACTAGCATATAAAATGCTAGAAATACAGAGCAGTGAGAGCAACCAAAGGCCAGTGGACACAAGCACAGCTGGAGGTTTTCTCATAAAAATGTCAATAGAGGAAGTTGTTGTTGCAGGAGGGCCGGCTCTGGAGCAGCTGCTGCTAAATAAATGCAACGTGATTCTTATTTTGTGCATTTTAAGAGCGTTAAACTGAAAGCGGTGAACAATGACGCCTCGTTCAGAGTCTTCTAGTTTAGAATCGAGTCTACACACAGAGCTGCTTTACAACAACAATTTATATTTTATGTTTTGTGTTTAGCCCTATTTTATTTCATATTAACGCTTGTGTTTATATTTTTATTAGATATTTTATACATCCTACTTCTTTTAAGACTTTTGCATCCGTAACAGGAAGCAGTTTCAATAAAGCGTTTCTGATTCAGCGTCTGGTTTTCCCTCCTCTCAGATCTACAGACGGGTCCTCCGAACCACAAGGGGATCACCGAGAACACGGCCATCATAGCCGGCGTGGTGGCTGCGCTGGTCCTGCTGGTAGCTCTGACTCTGCTGGCCGTTTACTACATCAACACACACCCGACGGTTGCTCCGCCGTTCTACCTCATGCAGGTGAGGGCAAATGAAACAACCTCCGATACGTTTTCCTGCTGTCCAGCTAACGACTCCTAACGTTTGCAGCGACGCACCAACAACTACTGGCCCTCCATGAAGTTCCGCAACCAGGGCTGCCACTCCAGCTACGCCGAGGTGGAGCTCGGGGGTCACGAAAAGGAAGGTTTCATCGAAGCTGAGCAGTGCTGCTAGAAGACGAAGGAGGAGGAGGGACGCCATCTTGAGGGACGGTGCAACGAGAAGGATGGACTTTTTCTCCGACCTTTGTGGCTGGACAGTGTTTACTGTAGCTGCTCCTGTAGCTCTCGCCAGCTTTGTCCTTTGCTGTTTTGCCATCACACGGGGGGTTCGGCGGCCGATTGTACAGAGATGATGAGATGTGTAGCTGTCCAAAAAAAAAACCCATCAATGCAAGGGTGGATGTCAGGGAACGAACTAGCCTTCCTACTGCAAACCGGTGTACAGCTCGACTTCACTATGTGTTTCTGTTTTCATGCATCTTACGGATTGTTTTTTTGTTTTGTTTCACGAAACTTCTACGCGATTGGTTCATAAATGTTATACCTACACGGACTTCACTACCGCAGATATCTAGCTATATAATTGATAGTGATTATTCTTGAACTTCTCTGGAGAAATATTGTTTGGATGAGTTTTAGCGGCATCGAGTTACCTTTCTGTTTAAATGTCTTCTAATAAAAGCTGGTGGTGAGTGTCGATATTGGTCTCGTGTGTGGCGAAACGCTGAATATAACCGGCACAGACCATCCTGGACTAAATTTAGAGCAGGTATATCGGTCACCGAGAACAATGACTCAGTGGGAAAAAGAGCCCCGACATGATCAGGTGAGTTTCATGGAGCGAGAAAGTCTTTGATTCATAAGAGCTGCGACGATTATTCAGCTGTTATGATGAGCAATTAATGAAGCAGGTAATCTTGATTTATGTGTTCCTCCTTTCCTCTATCTGAGCAGTTTAAATGTTGTCTTTTGGTTGGAGCTGCAACGACGAATCAGTTGATCGTGAATTTAATTGATTTTTTAAAAACAATTGTGACGATTGTTTAGTCCCTTTGAGTGCTTATTTTAAAGAAAAAAACATCTAAATTCTCTGATTCCAGCTCCTTAAATGTGAATATTATCTGAGTGTCTTTGGGTTATGGACAAAATAAGACCAATGATTCATTTTTCATCATTTTCTGACATTTCGAGACTCAACAAATGATCAATTATTTGACATATAAAGGAGACAATTAAAATAATCATTAGTTGCAGCTCTACTATTTACATGCTTGAGTTAGGACCCTGCAATATTAAACATAATACAACCGTACCTGACTGATTTTAATGTTAGGGACACTAAAATAATATGTAGTGTAGAAATTCCTTGACTAATTTAAATATTAAGGTTAATACAAGGAAATCTACTGATAGGAATTGTACTTCTCATTTGATAATTGAGAGAAAAAGTGCTAAAATATGTAGGAATAGACCTTAAAGGCACTAATCCCTACTTTTTATTGCTCACATACACAATAATATTGCATTATTGGTGTGTCTATGTAGCGCATGTGGGCTTTATGACTGACTGCAGCTACAATTAGCAGCAACAGAGACCTCGTTCTTTGAAGGAGCCTGGATTGTGAATGAAACACAGGAGGCAGCGGTGCCGTTTGAATATGAAATGTTTTAACAAAAGAAAAGTTCTTCACAACATAAATAGCCAATACACCATTCCCAATAAAGAAAAAATAATGGATTACCAACAATAATGATTCTATATATAATCTTCAAAAAGGAAAAAAATAAATTGTGCACATGTGTTTTCTTTGTCAGTCAAAACAGGTCGTCCAGTAGATAAGTGGGTGGTTTTCTCCTACCAGCTCCTTGATCCGGCTCACCAGGTGAACTGGGTGGAATGGATCCGGAAAACCATCCAGGGGGGAAAGAGGGAAAAAAAAAACCTGTCCAAAAAAAAAATACACATAAGTTTTGAACCCACAAAGAACCAATTCATTCATTAAATCAATTTCCTATAGATCAATCACAAAAAAATCAATTAATTAATCAAATTAACTGGTCATTGATAAATTACAGAAAATCAATTAATTAATCAAATTAATTCGTCATTGATAAATCACACAAAATCAAGTAATTAATCAAATCAATTTGTTATTGATGAATCACACAAAAAAATCAATTAATCAAATTCATTTGTCATTGATAATCACAAAAAATCAATCAATTAATTAAATTAATTGAACATTGATAAATCACAAAGAAAAAATCAAATTCAAAAGTGCAGCTTCTATAATTGATGTTTCATTTTAAACTACTCAACCAGAGTTTAAGAGTTTAATTATTTATCATATTTATCAGTTCAGTGAATGCGGCGCTCCGCGTACCAAAGCCCATGGCCGTTCGAGCGTTAATAACAAAAAAAACAAGAAGACTGGCCAAAACTAAAATAAAACTCCAAACTACGGGAGCGCGGCATAAAATTAAAACATTGTCTACAATTCGGCTGTGTTACATTACATGAAAGTCACTTTTCTTTTTACCTTTGAATTGAGTGATATTGGTTGACTTCCCGAGGCGCAGCCGAGAGTTAATCAGCGACTCAGTGATCAGGACGGAGGCGGAAGTGAACTCTCTGACCCATATTTATAGGAAATATGAGGTCACAGAAAATTGGCCCGGAAATAAATAAAATAAACAACCAAATAAATAAATAACTAAATGCGGGTTACATCTAATTCGCTTTTTACTTCTTTAAAGATTTAAAGTAATGCGTGCACAGGTATAGGTGCGTCTTCAACAAGTCATTTTATCACATATATTAATGTTTGATGGAATATTTGAGCTTCCCGAAAGAAAAAACTGCAAAATCCAGACAAACACTGAAAAACTCCGTCTTGTTTGGAAGATAAAACCCACATTTCATATTCATTCTGTCCACAGCTAAGGCAGTTTGTCAAAATGAGGTAGTTTAGTAGGAATATCTTCATTATTTAAGTGTCCAAGCAGAGTGTTTGCAACTAAATGAATGTATGCGTTCATTTATAAATGAATAAATGTCAAATTAGCATAATCATGACACAAACACAACCTTTAGGGGACACGCTGTGATACAACACTGCCACACGATGGAGCCAAAACACTACAAGAAATTCAACAACTAAAAGACAAGAATGATTCATAGTCAGGGGAAAAACATCAACATCTGGCAACTAAATCGTTACCAAACAATTTCTTCACCAATATGTTTGTAAAGGTGTAATAACACACCTGAACCCTCACCTGTGCACCGTGTGCATGTTGTTAATCTGGTTCAGCTTCCAAAACATGATCTGAGTTGTCCTGGATTACCTTAGTCTGACACTCTGTAGTCTGAGACTCTGTTGTCTGAGACTCTGTAGTCTGAGACTCTGTAGTCTGGAACTAGTTAATCTGAAGTTAAACAACATCTCAGAAAGCAGCTGGATTGGTGTGGATTAATTTAAACCAGATTCATTTAGTCCTGGTTTTATTTAAGCCCTGAACGCGAAACCGGGCCTAAAAATGTACCTTTCTAATTTAAGTGATAAGATTAAAACCCTGCAATATTTGGATAAAACACGAATGTACCTCACTTAGAATAGAGTACAGTAGAATAGAATAGAATAGAATAGAATTAGGGTTAAGCCTCTGTAATATCACATACTGTAAAAAAAAAAAAAAGAAAAGAAAAAAAAGGCTAATTTAAATGATAAGGTTAAGAACCTGCAATATTATTACTACACCAGATTATCTGACTTTTATTTTTTGAATGAAGGTTAAATAAATCCCTATAAAGTGAGGAAATAAACAGGAAGTGACTGTATTTTACTGTTAACTTCACGGTAATGTGAAGCGACAGACGTAGTTTCCTATTGTCGGTGTTTTTATCAACATAGAGAGTAAAAAGAAGATAATACATATGAGAAGAAAATGTTCAAAACATCATCACACATGAGAGGAAAAGAGGGGGCACCCGGATTTGAACCGGGGACCTCTTGATCTGCAGTCAAATGCTCTACCACTGAGCTATACCCCCGCTGTATAAACGGGGAGAGCGGCTGTGGTTTTAAACAGGAACCGAACATGTGTCCTGCTGCTTCCGGGTTGTGTATCGTCACGTGTCATTACTTTAAAACGCGAATACGCTTTTATCGCTTGATTAAAAACAAAACGACGTTTCTGACGATCGTTTACGTTTAAAACAAGACGGCAGATGTAGTTGTCATGTGTCCTTGTCCCCGGCAGAGGGCGCCAACTGCAGTTCAGATGTGTCTTAAACTACACAAACTAGTTAAACTTGGTTTTCAAACCTTATTGTTGTTTTTCCTTACAAAAAAATAAAGCTTAACAGTCATTTATGTGCTAAAAGAGCCCAGTTCTTGATGTACTTTAGGCATTATTACATCAGGTCGTGTGTCCTTTTATGGTTAAACGGATTCTCCCTGATGCTGCTTTCAGGGGCCGCACAGAAAGCCGGAATTCCTACAACTCATATCTATATAAACAGTTACTGTCGTTCAGTTACACAGAAGATCTTTGCTATCTTTTTTTAAGTAGTGATTAATGTCAAATAAAATGTAACTTGCATCAACACTGGATGTGTAGATGTCAGGAGGACGCAGGTGTTACGTCACTTCAATATTCAAACAAAAATTTAAAGAAAGTAAACAAATTATTTAGTAAAACTATATAATAACAACTACAACAATTATATTTCTATATATATATTTAAATACTGTTTAATAATATAGCAGTCTTCTTGACAAAGACAGAAATGATCAATCTGTGGAAAGCAACCAGAGAGTTTTTTTGGTTTTTTTTTAAAGATCACAAAATAAAGATATTTATTAAAGTCAGGGCAATAAAAAGAAGAGAAACAGAAAAATGGGAGAAATCCTGAAACTCAGCCATAAATAAAACATTCATAAAGGCCTTTAGATTAAAGAAAGCTGTCAGAAGAGATCTGAAGGACGCTTTTCTTCACCAAACACAGAAATATTTGAGATGTTCTGCATGTGAAGAACATGTCAGTAACATTCAGGAATTTAGAGATTATTTGTTCAAGTGAAAAGAAACCAAATGCACATTTAAAGAGTTCAGAAATACGTAAATGTGAGCGAGGATGAAATTAAATGGGAGAATTAGTATTTATAAGCGACTCAGAGAGACTGAGAGCTGCATTCAATCGTTTAATAGTTCACCTCATACCATGAACTAGAGTCAGTTAAAGAAGTATTTTATATGGTTTCTGTAGAGTTTTAATCCCTGACAGGTAAATTACTGAGATAAAACCACATCATAAATAACATTTGACGCTGTATTTAAACTTCTTGGGTTAATTTCATGCCATCAAATCATCAAATAATCTTTTTTCTTTGTTCTTTTTTTAACTTTAAGACACTTTGGTGCAACAGCTGTAGTTTTAGATGTGCTGCAAAAAAACCTGTGACTTGTGATTTTCTTTGCATGAATGCCGACGTTTGCGCCACAAACTGATGCAGAAAAAACACAAATCAGTTCAAATTCACAAAGTGTAGAAACTAAAGTTTTACCTTCATGTCCAAACAAAAACTATTCAGACGTTAATATGAATGAATGCCATCAGAAGCTCTATTTGGTCCATCAAAGCCTCTCTTAATCATCATAGAATCTGAACGTCGTGTCCGTGTTCGTCTGGTATCTGAACCTACATGCAACAAGTGGAAGCTGCTGAGTCCGAGGCTCCCTGAAGGCAGCACCAAGCTTCTGACTCCTCCTGAGCTGATGTTTGAACTGAGATTCCTGCAGAGAAGCAGCAGCAGCAGCAGTTCTGTCCCCTTCAAGTCCATCAACCTTCTCCTGAAGCAGGGAGCTTCATCATCTTTCCTTTGACTCTGTTTTCTCTCTGAGCCGCCATGAATCCGCCCTGTGGGAGATGCAACAAACCGGTTTACCCCACAGAGAAGATCAACTGCCTGGATAAGGTGAGATGAGCTGAGTGATGGTCCACAGGAGGTCTGTGATGGTAGAGTCTCACTTAAGGCACAGCTGGTTTGATTATTTAGCACATTTCAGGCATAAAAGCACTTCAGAGTCTTTAAAATTGTGCAAAAGCTTCAAGATTCTGATCAAAATAATAGAAAAAAATAACAGATTTTAAGACGAATCCTGAAGCAGCTGCTGACGATTGTTCAAAGTCAGCTTAGTGTTGCATCATTTCACTGCAGATTAACATTTTATTCGCTCGAAAGTTGTAAAAAATGCTTTAAAATGTGTTCCGGTTGAGTCTTTGTTCTGCTGCTGTGTTTGGAAAATGTGCTTTTATGATGCTCTAAGTCTCATTACATCCAAAACAAAGTGTGTTTTTGCCCCAGAATCACAGAAAACAACAGATCTGGAGGTGAACTGTGAATCTGAGGCCGTCTGCTGTTAAAATTCAAACCTTTGCTGCAAAAGACTTTTTACTTTTAATCGCTTCAAAGCAGTAAAAATACTTTAAATTGCAAATGTTGTGCAATTATGTCTTCTCTGTGATGCCTTTTAAATCATAAAAAAAGCAGATTTTAAGGTAATTTTAATATTTAGGTGAAGCAGATTGTTTAAATTCAATTTGTGTTGCACAGATTTCACTTTAAATTGCTCTGAAATCTGTTTAAACTCTACTTATGATGGTCTGTGTCTCATTTTTTGCCAAAAACATGTCGAGTTTATGCACATTTCATGCAACATCTTCTCTGCGACGCCTTAAAATAAGAAAAAAATTAACAGATTTTAAGATGAACTATAAAGATTGTTTAAATTCAAATCAGTGTTGCTAAATCCTCATAAGACATCACATTTTTTGTTGCTTTGAAGTGATAAAGATGCCATAAAACACGCTCAGACAGTATATTTCTGCTCCTGTTTGGAAAGAACAGCAGTTATGATGGTCAACGTCTCATTTTTTATGCAAAAATACAACATTTTTGCACATTTCATGCAGCGTTGTCGTCTCTGTGGGGCCTTAGAATAAAAGAAAATGTGGTATTTTTGCACAAAGTAAAACAAGCAACGAGCATTAAAACCAAACTCTTTGATCAGGAGCCTTAAAAGAAAGCAGATGAAGTGTTGCTGCTCCTCATCGTCAGCCTGTTCACATGACCTGAGCTCAAGCAGATCATCCTGATTGCCGAGGCTCGATTTATTCTCTTTAAGGACGAAACAGTCTGAGAAAGAAATTCTGTGTTTTTGATGTTTTATTTCTCCTGCAAAATGTGCAGAAAAACAGCCAAATGTTGTTTATTTTAATGGATAGTCGCATTTTGGGGGGAAAAAAGACGAGTAAATGTGCAGCATTCAGTCTGATGTCGTCTCTTTGCTCTTTAATTCTTATTTTCATTTCTCACAGCTGCTTCAGTTTTCAAACATGAACCATGAAACAGTTCAGAGTGTTTTTGCTTTTGTGTTTCATCTCTGACTGGTTTCTCTGTTTTTGTGTTTTCTCTGTCCAGTATTGGCACAAAGGTTGTTTCAGCTGTGAGGTTTGTAAAATGGCTCTGAGTATGAACAACTACAAAGGCTTCGAGAAGAAACCCTACTGCAGCATGTGAGTGTGAGAACCACACGGCGTCCTCAACGCACAGCTCCCACCACAAACACGCAGAGTTATTCATAGACTGTCGTTCAGCGTCGCCGCTCAGCTTCCACAAGCATCACAGCTTTTAGTTTTTGTTGGGTTTTCTTGTGACTAAAAGCTGCTGCAGACGTTGATTTTTCGTCTGAGATGCTGTCGTGTGGACGAGCAGGAAAAGAAGAAGTGTGAACAGACAGAATGAATCATGTGACTCCAGCTGTTCCTGAACGCAGCCTGACATTAAAGTTCGCCTCAGATTTGTGACTCTGACAGTTTCTCTCATTTACTGACGTAGTTCAGCGTAAATTAGGAATTATTAAGAATAATGTTGCTAAAAGTAAAATAAAACCGCTTTAAAAACGAGACAGCAGCGATAAAAACATCAGCATTAATATACATTAATATACAAAAAATGTTCTTTCAAATACCAACAAATATCTGAAAAATTATGTCATTTTGTCTGATTTAAGAAAATAAATAAATAAATAAAATAAAAGTGAAAGTCAGATGTTGTAAAATATTTAAATTAACATTTGTTCAAATACAGATGTTTGATGTGGACATTATTTATAGTTAATGTGTAAATTAATATTATTTATTAGATGTTGTTTGGTTGGTTGGTTTAAATTATATATATTTTAAAATATACACACTGTAAAAAAAAAAAAAAAAAAGAAAATAATGTTTTTAAAGAGATTTAAACTTCAATTGTTCATCAAAATGTTATTTTACAGATTTTTCCTTTTTTTTTAAAAATAATTTTAAAAATTACACATAATAACAAGTAAAATCAGTAAAAAGTTTTATTTACATGTTGACTGCAGAAAAACAAACAACAACAATGAACAAATAAACTGTAGATGATGTCCACAATAAACATCTGTATTTTTTTTTTTTAATGTTTGTGTAAAATTCTGCATTTTTTACTGTAATAATTGATCATCTTTTTCCAGATATGATCATTTATGTGAAAGACAGTTTCTGTGAATTAAGCACTGAAAAAAAGTAGCTCATAGTTAAACTTAAATTTTACAGATTTCAGCTATTTTGTTAAATTACAGATAATTTCTGGTGCATTAAAACACAGCATGTTGTCGTCTGTTCTGTTATCAGCTGTGACTGTAAAATAACTGATTTACTGAATTTAAATCTGCTAAAAATCCAATTATTTGATCGATATTTGTTTTTTTTCACAGCATTCTAATATGACGGTTTTGATGCCAGGTTTTTGCAGATTGTTTGTTTTTTTTTAATCAGATAAATGCTGAATATTGGATTAACGATGAAAATGTGATTTTCTTGCAGGCATTACCCCAAAACGTCGTTCACCATCGTGACCGACACGCCCGAGAACCTGCGTCTGAAGCAACAGAGCATGCTCAACAGCCAGGTGAGTCGTCCACGTGTCACTTCCTGTCGGATCGGTGGTCTGCCTTCTTCAGTCTGGTGGTCTGAAAAACGTCTGTCCAAACAATCTGCTGTCATTTTACGGATAATCGTGTAAATTAATTTTAGCACAAAATAATTTACACGTTAACCTGCTACAAACTATTTTCTGTTATTTATAACAAAACATTAGAAATTTGAAAGGACTCAACGGTGGCACATTTTCAAACAGTTTTTTTAAAATAGATTTTCCTGTTTTGTTAATTTACAGATGATATCTAGTTAAATGACATTAAAACGTATTAATTTATAATAATAACCTTTAAAAATAATGTAGTTATAAAATTTGAGATGTTTATTTCTATAAAGGTTAGTTTCATTTTTCACATCTCTTCATACATTTACACTGTTTTTACTGTTTGTCTTTTCCGTCATTTGAAGGAACAAATATGTAAATTAAGAAGGAAAATTATAATTATTAAACCCATTTTTATAGAGTCTCCTGTTTTGTTCAATTACAGATAATATTTAATAAAATTTCAGGAAAAATAATATTGAATTACATGTTAACTGTTACAAAAAAACTGCAAATAAGGTCGACATCAAAATATCTGAATTTCTATAAATTTGTTCTTTTATGATGTTTAACTATAAAATTACTTTATTTTTACATTTTACTGTTTATGTTTGCCTTCATTTAAAAGAAAAATATGTACATTAAGAAGAGAAAATGATAATTATTAAAACTTTTTTTTTTTGTAGATTCTCCTGTTTTGTTAAATTACTATTTAATATTTAATTCAAATTTAAGGAAAAAGTTTTTTTGTTTTTTTTTATTTTAAAAAGAAAGAAAGAAAGAAAAGAGGCCAAAACTGTAAATAACGTCCAGTTAAATAGCAGTGATTTGCTTTTTCATGACATTTAACCTTAAAATGACACCATTCTTACTATCTACTGTTTACATTTGCTGTTACTTTGAAGAAGATTTTGATATTTAGAATAGACAAAACAGCTTCTGTCAGTTTTCCCTGGTTTGTTAAATTACAAATAATATCCAGATAAATGACAGAAAAAATGTATTAAACAGTTAAATAGCCAAAACATATAAAACTGTATAAAACCTCCAAATTACAGATCTATAAAATACCACAAATACTAATGAGTTTTATTTTCACTGTTTGTTTTACAGAATAGTTTTTTCCAGCGTTCAGGGCAGCAGGTAGCGAAGCCTCGTCTTCCATTAAATCAAATGAGCTCTTTAACTCACGCGACCTGATTCAATGTGACGTTTACAAAGTGGAGCTGCTTCTTCTGAGCGTCCTAACTGATCGTAAATCAGACGTCAGGCGGATGAATCGGTGCTTTTAAAGCTCTCCGTCTCGTTTCCTTCGGCTCTGATCCCATCACGCTGCTCACAGGGATTAAACCAGAACCGAAGGGATTCCTTCACAGTTTAACTTCCCTTTGAGGATCTTCTCGGCACGACGCAGTTTGACCTTTTAAGGTTCTGCAGAACGTACGACCTTTAAGTCAGGAACATTTAAATCTGGTCACCTGGTCATGTGAGCGTCATGCAGAGGGAGGCGGGTTTTATTTAACCTTTTATTACAAAGTTTGTCGCTTTAGGACGTTAGATTCATTATTTTCAATCTGACAAATCTCAAAAATGTAACAGGAAAACATAAAATGCTCTAAAGCAGCCATAAAATCAGCCTTTATAAAAGGTTCCAGTCAATTATTTCCTTTAGAAAGTTCTTAAAAGAGAGTAACAAGCAGAAATCAGGACGAATCGTCCTCAAACGGACACGAGCTGAAGCGTGTGTTCAGCATTAAACGTGTTCTGTTCGACCACAACAACCGTAAAACATCCGATCATCACTCGACTGATTTACCAGATGTTTTTAGAAACTTAAAATACAATTATTTATGAAGATGTTTGTGAAATTTTAGCTTCATATATCAAACACATTCTGAGATAAAGTTGTTGTTGTTGTTGTTTTTTCACACATTGAGGCTTTTTGAACGCCAGCAGCTGATCACAACCTGAAATATTCTCTGTTATTTCTCATCACGTTGCTGATTCAGAGTCTGTGATGTTAATTAAATTAAATATTCTCTGATTATGGGGGAGTTGAAATATTATTAGGAAAAGTCTCGTCTTTGAGCACAAACTGACTAAAAACTCGACGAAGCAGAAGCCAGCTGGTGATGTTTTCTGAACCACACGTCACCAAAATCCCAAACTAAGCGTGTAGAATAGTTTGAATATGAAAGACTTGGTCACAGAAATGAACAGAAAGTTGTTCTTGTTGAACATTCATGACTGATGAAGCAGCTTTGACCAGTCGCACCACAAAAACTAAGATAGAGAGATAGAAACTGTAGTGAAAGTAGGTCAGCCGGCTTGTTTTCATGATGTCACGCAGACGTATGGATGTAAAATCACAGACAGCGTTTTAAATATTTATAGTTGATGATGAACAAGAGTTTGAAGTGAACCAGAGACGTCTGAGCAGAAGAACGCCGACGGTTTTAATCATAAAAGCCGTAAACGTGCAGAATCTGGCCTCCGTCCTGCTGCTTCCTCCAACGCTTGCTGAGAAAACAAAACCACGCGTGCTTCAAAAACGAGCACGACCACAAACCGCCGCGCAGGACAGAATAAAGCCACCTCTTTATACTGAAAACAATTCAGAGAAGCGGACGACGCAGCAGCTCTGGAATCTGCTGCTTTATTGTCTCTGATGCAACGACGCAAACCATTTTAGGCTGAGACCTTTTCTAAAACATGGCAGCGATATCAGGTTCGCTTCTTCCTCCTCCTGCTGCCGCCGCTGCTGCTTCTCTCGGCTCTCATCCAGCCGGCTCACTTCGTTGTTTATACCCATAAAAGTCTCTGCAGCTCAGCGAGGCGGCCTTTTCCTCATAGCAGCGCCGTGACTCACTGTGTTTGCATGTGTGCACATCCAGCCTCAAATAAACATGCTGGTTGTTCAACGCCGCCTCAGCTCACAGGGAAAAGTGACAAATGGACATTTAAAGCATCCGACCCTGTAATCCGAGCCCGCTTTAACAAGAGGCGCCTTCCTGGGGCTCTTGTGTTCTGTTTTTTTTGTCTGATTTCTTTTTAAATAAAAGACTTGAGTTTCCTACCGAATGACTAAATTTGCAGGCGCTCTATAAGGAGGACTTTGAGAGGAACAAGGGGAAAGGCTTCAGCGTGGTGGCCGACACGCCGGAGATGCAGAGGGTGAAGAAGACGCAGGACCAGATCAGTCACGTACGTCGCCTTCAGGGGGCGTCGGAAACTCTAAAACCACTAAACCTTCATTTATCCGCCGTAACAACTCAAAACTCTCGACCCTCGCTCCGTCCTCTGACTGCTACGTCTGCATGAACTCCTGTGAAATCTGTTTCTCTAACGTGTAAACTAAACTCAACGCTGCATTCGGGTTACGTTGGATTTATCGCTACCACAGTTGCAGGAAAAGAAGCTTTTATTGTGAAATTCCAGATATTAACCCTGTGAACCCAAAAACCCAGCGGCAGGTTTGACAGACGTGTTGGATTCTCAACATTTATCAAAGTCAGAAACTGTACAAACAGAAGAAAAACACCCGGTTTCCCACTTTCCGGTGGTCCTTGAACTAATCACGTGTGATGCCAAACCTGAGCTTAAAGTCGTGATATTTAAGTTGTTTTATTTCACATTTCTTACTTTTAATGTTAACAAAAAGTAAAAATCTGCACCAGATTCTGTAAAAAACACTAAAAATTGAAGCGACTCGTCTGAACTGCCGGCAGTGTTGATACGTATAGATCAAAATTAGACCAGATGAACCTTCATTAATCCCACAGCGGGGACATTTTGCAGCGTTAGAGCAGCAAACATTTGAGGAATATTGTACAAAAATAGAAATACACCAAAATATACACGAGTACGAGTAATAAAACTGACATTATTGCACATATCAGTGATGACCAGAAACACTGAGAGAGTATGAACACTGCACAGGGTACAAACAAGTGATCAGAGAGACTGATTGGATCGATAAAATAAATGCGGCGTGGCTCACAAACGGCTGCTGGTCGATACATCCAGCTCAGTGAAACATCTTCCAGTTTGTACAGGTTGTGAAAACGTTGAAAAGGAAATGATCTGTGGTGTTTAGAGCCACTGCTGCCGGTGTTTGTAGAAATGCTGTACATGCTGATTCTGGGTTTTTTCCCATTTTTGTAAAATAAATAATCAAAGAAATTGAACTTTTTGGTTCTTTTTATGAGATTTATTGCACCATAACTGTGTCATTCCTGAGGTCTCTCTGCTTCTAATCAGGGTTGTTCTGTTTCCTCAGAGGTGCAGGACTTTATGTTGCAGTTAAAAATGAACCCACAGTGAGTAGAAATGCAACAGGAAGAAAACCAGTACTACTACAAGCAGAGCAGTCTGGTAACAGCGACACGTCATTTAGTTGAAACCAACCGACCCTGAATGCAGCGCCATCTAACGGCTCCTGTCTCTGGTGTTTTTATCCGATGTCCAGGATGAAAGCGTGCATGGACTCAAACCAACTGTTCTGTCATGTAGCACTTTAACCTTTAAAGGAAGAGTTCGATGGGACATCTGCACTTTCTCTGCTGAGAGACAGATCAGAAGTTTGATACCACTGACATCTGTATACACACCTCCTAAAACTACAGCCTGATGATAGTTGAGCTTTAAACCTGCTGCTCGGTGGATTTTTGATCCCTTTGGACAGACGCAGACTAACTGGTTCATATTAACCTCTTTAGCCTTTTCTGTTTTCTGCATTATCCACCAAAAAAAAAGTCAAATCTCCATAAGCTGTAAAGCCAAAAGGCAAGAGGCACTTGGGAGACATTTGAAATATAATAAGTCCTCTTGTCCCCCGTCAGCAGGCCACAATTAGAATCAGAAGAACTCCTGATGTTCTTGAACCAGATCTGAAAAAAACCAGCAGCAGACATGAAGCCCAGTGAAGCTCTAGTAGCAGGTAACCTCTTCACACCTTGGAGTGTGGTGGTATCAGTCTTCTCATCTGCATCGAAGCAACACAGCTTGAAATTCAAACTGTTCCTCTAAAGTCAGGTTGATGTTTGCAGGCACTCTACAAGGAGGACTTTGAGAAGAACAAGGGGAAAGGCTTCAGCGTGGTGACCGACACTCCGGAGCTGCAGAGGCTGAAGAAGACGCAGGACCAGATCAGTAACGTAAGTTCAGCAAAGCCACACCAACATGTTATCGCGACTTCCTCGCTGCCTCCATTGGGATGTGGCACGATCGAAAAGTTCTGAGACTAAAGAAAATGCACAGAGTCACGAATCAGGAGATCCAGACTTCAGGTGGAGGATCGTCAGTGGTGACTGGAGGAGGGTCTGCAGCTACCAGCAAGAGAGATTTCACAGTGGAAGAGCTGCACGATTAAGACAGGCCAAGAGGAGCACCAGGAGGTTTTCTTCAACATTCACATGGTTGAATCGTCCTCCGGAGGTTGGACCATCAACACAGAGTTCTACTGACAGGGGAGTTGTTCCAGTACCCAACATTGGATGTTCGATGGGCGTACGACCAGGCAGTAGATGGTGCTGGTGCCCTGCAACAATGAACCAGTACACACTGGTTTCACCTGATTGGACGAACACTTTACTCGTTTACTCTTTTCCAGGACCTTTAAAGTGGAGCAACATGGCGGCTCCTTTGGAAAGTTGCCCCAAAATGTCTCACACAAAACTTAATGAGTAAGTCATGCAGCTGCGGAGTCTGTCTTCATTTTGCATCGACAACGATCGGTTTGGAAGTTTCTTGGCGTTTCCAGAGGGGGCGAGTCACCCCAGATTTGCAGGAAGTATCCTAAAGATCAGCTAGACATGAACTAACATGATGCACCGTCTGTCTCTTCTCTGGTTGAAGCACCATAATGACGGACTGTGTGGACACCAACCATGATGGAGAGCGTTCAGGGCAACTGACCCGAACTGAGTCGCGACTTTGCGTTCGTGCATCAACACAAACATTGCAGATTTAACTTCCTGCAAGTTGAGATGCTGCTGTTTAGACACGTTGCAGACGGTGCTTATTTATTTATTTACCATTCATTGTTTATGTGAGGGGGCAGATCGGTGGTTAGCACCGTTGCCTCGTAGCAAGAAGGTCACCGGTTGGCGTCCCGGTGAGGACACCCGGGATCCCTCTGCGTGGAGTCTCCATGTTCTCCCCGTGCAGCGTGGGTTCTCTCCGGGTTCTCCAGCTTCCTCCCACAGTCCAGAAACATGCTGAGGTTAATTGGTGATTCTAAATTGTCTGTAGGTGTGAATGTGAGTGTGCTTGGTTGTCTGTCTCTAAGTGTAGCCCTGTGATAGACTGGTTACCTGTCCAGGTGAACCTGCCTTCACCCTGAGTCAGCTGGGATAGACTCCAGCCCCCCATGACCCTAGTGAGGATTAAGCAGTGTTTAGATGATGGATGGATGTTTATGTGAGCAGCTTGCAGCATCATGCTGCATGTCAAGAAACAAGGCGTCATGTCAGCCGCTCATCATTTGGACAAAGTTCAGGTTCTAGCTGATTTAAACCAGTGGGACTAACTGTTGTTGATCCTAAATGATGACAGACTCAGCAACTGCGTGGCTAATTTCTCACCTAAAATGTTCCAAAATGCATCGTGGTGAACCTGTTTTCACTTGTAAGCTTCCAAACAAGTCGCCACATTGGTCGGGTTGGAAATCCGAGAGCAGCTAAACGTCTGCAGTCTCCATTGGTAGAGTTGCAGGAAGGTGGAGCCTGTTTTTGAGTTTCATATTAAACAGAATCTCGTTGCACAACTCCTCCAGCTACGTCCCTGTGGACATGTATCATTGCAGGAGCGCTGGGAGCAGAGTCTCACCACACAAACCTTAAATCTTACTTTACATGCTCAGTCTCACAGCTTGTTGATCGCACCTCCTTCCGTGTATTTATCAGACTAACAGCTTTTAAAATCTTCTTGAAGGAGATGTCTGAGTTCACAGCGAAACATCTGGTGTGTGTCCAACGACATGACGCGTCCAGATATGAGCAGAGCGAACAGAGTCGGATGTGCGATCCTGCAGAGACACTCGGGAACGTTTCAGACGTTTCTGCTGGTCCGCTGAGGAGCAGCTGCCCTATATGGTCAAAGTCTCTCAGCTGTGGACGCAAACCGAACACACACACACACACACATACCGAACACACACACACACACACATACCAAACACACACACATACCGAACACACACACACACATACCACAGTGAAACACACACAAACCTCCTCCTTCACTCTCATGAGAGTTCTGCAGTTGCAGAAAGGAATGATGGGTGATAAGCTGCATGTCAGAAGGGCAAACTCTTATTTTTCCATTAGTAGTTGGAGCTTTCCTTTCCTTTCCAACTTTATATAAAACTATGTATTTGCTTGTTTTTAATTCCCTCTGTCTCCGTCAGTCTTGTTTCCCATAACGTCCTGCTTGCTGTTTGCTCCTCCTGAGGTTTGCTGAGGACACTGGGAGGGGGCTTCGCTTCCCTGTGCGACGTCCTCTTTAAATCACCACATTCATCCTGCAGAGGTCGAGTTATTCTTGCTGTTTTGGACAAATATCCACCAAAACCACCACTTTTTAAATTTGGAATGCAGAAAGTAAACTGTTCTCAAGAGTCTTTAAACAGCGACGAAGTGAATCCAAGAGCCAGAAATCTGCTTCTTCTGTTATAAACCATCAGTAGAAAAAACAGTTAATCTGCAGAACACATCATAGTTTTCTCATGTGTTGTGTAAATGTAAGATTTTGGGATATTGTTCCTACGTAACTTGACTTTTTTCAAGCTAACTGAGGGACAAAAAAGTCAAAATACACACTGTTTTATTTCACGTTATCTATTTGCATCATCAAACCTTTAGTATTTTTTCTAGTTTTATCTCTTACTTGAGCCACAAACCTGCTCTTGAGTTGCACTTACAAACACCAAAGCTTCCACCTTTATCCTGTTCTATGTTCTGAAGGTTTACACAGAGGAGGGTTTGTTCATACGTCATTCACGGCCTGATTTATTGGGCATTTCACTCCTAAAAACATGTCGAAAATGCCTTTTGTTCTGGCTTCTGGGTGCATTTTCTGATTTTTGCAGCAACAATGAAGCAGCAGTCTTGGAGGCGATCTCATGTTCAGGTTTTGAGAGCTTGTAGTGTAATATAATAGAATAATCAGCTGGGACAGTTTGTGACAAAAGCATCAGTACAAACTCTCACAAACACCAGCGAGTGCATTTATAAGCAACATGCAAACGTAAAAGAGTTCTGGTTGGTCACAAATATGTAAGAAAAGCTTTCCAATGCTTCTCATCAGATTGTTCATATATGAGCTGTATCAAATCGTTGGAGGCAGATAAATCAGAGTCTGTTTTTTTTGCTGTTTTGGAGTAAAAAGAAGAATAAAAGGTTTAAAAAGCAACTGCTGCAGGTCAAATAAAGAGCTTGTGTTCCAAGACTAGTAAGAAACAAGTGGTACAAGTCAAATAAAAAGCGAGCGTAGCAGATAAAAGATAAAAGTCATAGAAGTATATACAGTGTGCAGCAATGTGGAACGTATTGGCCTGAGATAGAATTAAAATATTTCTATTTGAAGAGCAGCGCATTAACAAAATGCAATATTTAATCAATAAAGAAACCTATTTTCTCCTGAGTAAATCCTTTATTATTGCTGGTTATATATATATATGTATATATTTATATATAAAGCTGGTTCCTGCTGAAGCTGCTCTCTTTGTGGTTCGTCGTCTCTCAGCTTCTCCTAAAATGGTGAACGGCTTCGTGCAGAGGCTGAACATGTTGAGGTTAAACCGTCGGATGGGAGAGTTCACCGCCCTCCTGTGGGTTTAATACAAGTGTGCGTGTGTGTGTGTGTGTGTGTGTGTGTGTGTGTGCAGATCAAATACCACGAAGAGTTTGAGAAGAGCAAGGTTCGCAGTGACGCACCTCCACCTGAAAACAGACAAGGTGAGTCATTACGTCACACGCTCACCTGTAACACCTAAAATAAGTCTGTTTAATTCTGTGTGTGTGTGTGTGTGTGTGTGTGTGTGTGTGCAGACTATGAAGAGCAGCCCTCCAACCCTGGAAGATTCAGTCAACCTGCAGGACAAGTGCGTCCTGCTGCTGTAGCTCCACCTGGTGGAGGGGTAAGGCTGCTACACATGCATGCAACCAAAAGTATGTGGACGCCCCAGTGTAGGAAGAAGCATTCAAGTCAAAAATACCAACACGGCAAAGTAAAACTAGTCCATTGCAAGTAAAAGTCCTGCATGAAAACTTGTACTTGGTAAAAGAACATCTAAATGTTCAGCTACCAGTTTGACCCACTTTATATCCAGTTTTATACACAGAGACGGCAGATAAAGCTGGAAAGAAAGAAGAAAAAGCTCTGACACACAAATCCTTACTCTAAATGTTTCTGGGATATTAGATTATTTATACATTTACTGAACTGAAACCAGGTTAGAACTAATATGATGTAAGATTACTGGAAAGTTCCGCAGTGACGCATTATTATTATTATTATTACATAAAGATGAAACTTTATTGACCCCCGATGCAGGACATGTTTACAAAATACAACATTACGGTGACGCACAAACAAATGCATGAATAATTATAATCTAAACACATATTACTAAGAAATGTATTTTAATGCCAAGAATGTGTCCGTAGAAAAGTGTTGTAACAACAAGTGTGCTTTTGTGTGTTTTATGTAAATGTCAGCTGCAGTGAGATGTTGTCGCACTCTATGCAAATGAATCCGTTTCCACTCTGAATGCTCCTGATGTTGTGTTGCTGATGCAGTTAGCTTAGAAGACAGTTAGCCTCACAGTTAGTCTTCCAGTCAGTCTGACTTACAGTTAGCCTGACTA